ATGGATATATCTATATATGTGTGGTCATGTCAGACTGTTGCTTTAAGACGTAACGTGGCCTCTTGTTGGCTCACGTTAACGTAGTTCTGGTTCAGACTTGTTAGAAGTTTCAGGTCTCTACAGTTACAGGTGGTCAAGTGTGGTAGTGCGGCAATGTTTCCTGTGTTCTGTCAGCTTCATGTGCAGGTATCTCCATATCTACGGTGTCCCTCAGTGATCAGCTGAGTTTTCTCACTGGCATTTGTCGGCTGCTGAACAATCGGAGTCTCAAGATCTGAAAGAAAAAAACAGAAAAACCTTTGTGATCTCATGACATCATGGCCTCAGGACCTTGGGTCTGAGCAGTGACCTACAGCGACACAGATCCATCTGTTTCTTTATTTTAAAAGAGACAGGAAACCATCAGGGACTGACACAACGACAGGGTTTCGGCCGGGAGTCGAACCGTCAACCTGCTGGTCCACACTCAGACTAATCACAGTTGAGTTTAAGGATTTTATTAAAATGCTAATTCGTCATATAGAGACATATATTAAGGTATTTTAAGGTATTTCACATTAACAAGTTTTCACCTTAAACCTTGCCAGAAGAATCTGGGTTTTTAAGATATGCTGAAAGTTCACTGTGGTTTGTTAAGGGAAGAATTAATGGCTTATTATTCATAATTGTTATTAATGATTATTAATTACCAGCATGTGGGAAAAGCCCTCAAACTTGACTTAATACCATTAAAGCCATGACCTCCCTTTTAAGGTAAGCTGAAGGGATCATTTTCATTTTACTTAAAAGTTTTAACCCTTTGAAATCCCTTAACTTTACAGATAATCCTCCGAAACGAATTCATGTTAAAATCCATTAATTACCTTAACCTCCCCTACAAATATCTTACTTCATCAATATTTAAGGGTAAATAAAGATATTTTAAGATATTTGATTTAACGTTACAGCTGACTGACAAAGTTCACTTCCTGTTGTCTCACCATTGTCGGGGTCATTGCGAATCTCGTCCTCGAGGTCGTCAGGGGAGATGTAGTCAGGCTCCGCCCCCTCCCCAGCGGGCGTGGGTTTGAGTTTTCCACAGCAGCAGTTACAGCAGCAGCAGAGACAGCAACAGCAGTAACAACCGGTCAGGACGCCACACAACACGAACAGACCCTGACACACAAACACAGCGTCAGTGCCCCCCTCAGGTCAGACTCTGAAACTTTGTAAGCCCCGCCCCCTCACCTTAGCCCACCAGGTGGACAACATGAAGTATGTGTTGACGTTGTCCTCTCCGAACTGCTGGGCCACGTAGAGTCCTAGAGACCCGTACGAGTCGTAGATGTTCCTCTTGGTGAGGTCGGACAGGACGGAGTGAGCGCTGTTTAGTTCCTTGAACTTTTCAGCAGTGTCTGGGTTCTCTGGGTTTTTATCAGGGTGGTACCGCAATGCCAGTTTCCTGTCACAGGTTAGAATGTCACTATTACTACTGAGAGCTCCAGAAGTTATCGACAGAGTGAAAATGAACATTTGATGTAACAGCTGACTGATCACTTGCTGCAGGTGAGTGGACGGGGCTGCGATTGACTCACCTGTAGGACCTCTTGATATCGTCATGGCTACAGCCTCTCTCCAGACCAAGGATCTGATATAGAGACTCGCCAGAAGTGGACAGAGTTCGCTGCCTCCCCTCAGACATCCTGACACCATCACCTGTCAGGTAAACACGCATCAGACTCAACACCAGACTCACCTAAACCTCGATTAATCATCTGAAACTCGATTAATCACCTGACGTCTGGGGCTCCTTAGCTGGTGCCTGATCCAGTCTTGGTCACAATAATAATAAAATAAACTGATAAGAACAAGTTTCCTCTGCTGCTAACAGAATCATGAACTCCATTATTCAAACCCACAGAACTTTATTTGACCTCTTGAGTCCGTAAGCAGCAGAAACATGGATGTCTTCACTGTCCTGTAAAAACATCTATGTAAAGTCTGATCGATTTTAATTCAGCAGGAGTCAAACGTCATGGTTCTCACTGAACACTCCACATGACAATGTGATGATATCACCCAGGTAGAACCTACCTGTGAAAGAGTCGATTAAAGAGCTGTTCCCTATTGAAGCCTTGGAGTGTCTGGTCCTGTTGTCCACTTGTTCAGGTGTGTGTGGGTCCGGTCCTGTTGTCCACTTGTTCAGGTGTGTGTGGGTCCGGTCCTGTTGTCCACTTGTTC